ATAAATCAGTTATTAGAAATGAGTTATTAAAACTATTATGTTTAGAAATGCGTTGAAAAAAACCTTCTCTCCGTTCAACCGAAATTAGGGAAAAAATAAACAGGGGGGCTAATAACATATTCTCTTAACTGCCTGCTCAATCAAAGGGTTGGCCATATTTTGACTGTTTTAAATAATGACTGTTAAAGTAATTTAAAGAATGACTGTTTTAAATAATGCTTTACACTACACAGTATTGTTGGTTTAAAAAAAAAATTCAAACAAACATGATCCTGTTGCACTACTACACTACACAAATATTTTATGGCATGTTTAAGAAAAAAAGATGATTTAGTATTCAAAAATGTTTTATTTTGATTTTTTTTTTTTTTTGGTCTTATACTTTTATATATTTTTCTGATTTTCATTGTATATGTATTCATTTTTAATTCAGTATTTTTATCATAAACCGATATCTTAACCATTTGGTAGAAGTTGGTATTTTAGAAATTATGGGATGTGTAGAAAAAAATGCATTGAGTGTGTTAACTAGCAACATTAAGAGTTAAATGCAATCCAAAATTTGTTTTCTTGGTGGGGTTTCTGGTGGAAAAAAAAACAAAATAAGTTTGACTTCCTTTTATTATCTCAATGACATAAATTGTTTTTGACAATAAAACACCTTCCTTTTTGGCTGATAAGAATGATTCCTCACCTTGAACCTTTTGGATTTGTTTTGGTGTGTAGCACCAAACGATTCCAGATGGAAGAAATTAAATCCTGTTTTACTATAGTAAAGGTAAAATGAACTTTTTGTAAATGTAATATTGGACATGCATTGTAATACAGTTAATACAAAAAAATGTGTATTTCAAAGGATCATTTACAAACTATGTCATCATTTATTTACTTTTGTGTTATTTTAAACATTTCTATTTATCTTTAAAACACAAATAAAGATTTCTCCTGAAAAATGTTTGTCTTTTCATTAAAAAGTCTTATCCTGTCAAGTTATCTGAACAGAAAAAATACAAATTTACAGTATATGATTGATCAGTTAAACCTTTATATTTGGGTTTTAATTTACCATACTCTTATTTTATACTTATACTTCATTTATCATACATAATCTTCAATCTCCAAATAATTTATATATTTTAAGTTTTGACTAGATGAATTGAAGAGAGGAGGAAGTAAAGGAAGAAATAGCAAAAAATAATATGAGAGTAAACGATAGTGAGTTGAAGACAATATTATATATAAAAGTCAGAATTATTACCCCTTTTGAATCTTTTTCTTTTTCAAATATTTCCCAAATTATGTTTAACAGAGCAAGGAAATGTTCACAGTATGTCTGATAATATTTTTTCTTCTGGAGAAAGTCTTATTTGTTTTATTTCAGCTAGAATAAAAGCTGTTTTAAATATTTCAAACACCTTTTAAGGTCAATATTATTAGCCCCTTTAAGCTATATATTTTTCGATTGTCTACAGAAAAAAAAAACATTGTTATGCAATAACTTGCCTAATTGCCCTAACCTGTCTAGTTAACGGGCGACGCAGTAGCACAGTAGGTAGTGCTGTCGCCTCACAGCAAGAAGGTCGCTGGTTCGAGCCTCGGCTGGGTCAGTTGGCGTTTCTGTGTGGAGTTTGCATGTTCTCCCTGCATTCGCGTGGGTTTCCCCTACAGTCCAAGACATGCTGTACAGGTAAATTGGGCAGACTAAATTTCCCAGAGTGTATGAGTGTGTGTGGATGTTTCCCAGAGATGGGTTGCGGCTGGAAGGCAATGCCAGGTTAATAAAGGGACAAGAACATGAATGAAGGAATGGATGAATGAATGTCTAATTAACCTACTGTAATTAGCCCAGTGAGCCTTTAAATATCACTTTAAGCTGTATAAGTATTTTTTTTTACTGTCATCATGTCAAAAATAAAATTAATCAGTTATTAGAAATGAGTTATTAAAACTATTTCGTTTAGAAATGTGTTGAAAAAATATTCTTTCCGTTACACAGAAATTAGGGGCTAATAATTCAGAGGGGCTAATAATTCTGACCAACTGTAATTGATGACAATTTATTTACATTTAGTTCAATTAAGCATTGAATAAATTGCTTCCTGGCTTAATTTTTTTAGCTGAATCAAATTAACTTTTCTAGTCAACTCAACTTAAATCAATCAAATGGACTAAAAATATTATGCTAAACTTTGTATAACAAATAAATGTAGTGAATAACTTAATAGATTAAGTCAACGTAACATATAACTTTGACTTTGTGTCATAGTTTTTTGTGTGTTTTTAAAGGCAGAGAGCAAGTAGCAAACTAATTAAACTACAGCACTTGTACACTTCATAGGCACTTTTCTGCAGTGTCATATCAATTTGCCATATCTTGACATTAAAAAACTGTGTTCCTTTCTTTATTTTAACCCAAGCATGAAACTGGCCAGTTCACTGCATCTCAAATCACTCTATTCAAAATGCTAAAATGAGGCAGACTTTACAAGGTAATGCAACAACAATCGAGCAATCTTCAACAGACAGATCTGATTTGGTTCCGTTATTTAACTCCGCAAGCGCACGATATCAAACGCACCCTCAGCGTCATGTCTCAGATACGACCGAGGCGGCAAATTGTCTGCACTTCCTTAAAAACACAAGTCATTCTGGCTTGGGGGGCACACCTTAGGTATTGCAGAGCAAACAAACATAATTGGCTAATCTAATCGCATTGCTTTCTGCATTTCTGTTTACTTTTGCCTAAGCGTCTCCATGAAGGCCAGAGCTATGTGACCGTGAATGCCACATTGTTCAGGGCCCCTCACAGATGCAATCTGCACAGACGTCGCTCGGCCTCTCTTTCTCTTTCTCTCTCTCTCTCTCTCTCTTTCTCTCCAGCTCCGATGACAGGCTGTTGAGTCTGAGGTGTACACTAACGCAAAAGGGAGACTCCATCACGCTTCACATGCAGCCCTGATGGAGTGGAGTCAGTGAGCTGTACTATCTGCCCATCAGCGGCCCCCATTCAGCCCATTCAGAATGGAAATGATGGTTCGTTTCAGTCCAAAAAGGACGACTGGAGAATGGCTAATGCAAGAGAACTCCATTCAGCAAATAATGCCAGTGACACGACCTGAAAGTTTCTCAAGTTCCCAATCTGAGCACAACATACAAGTTAAGGGTTCCTTCGAAAGTCCAGAATGATTTCATTTTAACTCTGCTAAAACATTTTCAATCAAGTGTAGCCTGTTAGTTGAATAACACATCTTATTGATGAGCCCCACACAAGCGTTTTTACACCTTATGGTTCATTAACATGATGACTTTTCACACCAAACTAAATATGATAAGGTTAAATTCAACATTAAAGTGAAACAAAGAAATAAAAGCAAAATCACATTAAACACAAAATAAATGCAGCTTGCTTTGATAAACCGTTAATACACTGATAAGTGATTCTTGCTATCTTTTAATAGGAAACAAACATACTGCTCAAAAAAAATAAAGAGAACCATTGGCGTTACATTGTGTTGTTTAAGTGTTCTCTTTATTTTTTTTTTAGCATTATATGTTTGTAACATGTTCATTTAAGATTATCAAAATGAATGTACAATGTACTTTTACAGACATAAAGGCAAATTTACTGTACTGTAAAACTTAGTAAGTTAAGGCAACTCAAACCATTTGAAGAAACCGAAAGCTACAAAACATTCGAGTAAAAAAAATAATAATAATAATCTATTTGAGTACTGTAAACTTACTCCATTTAAGTTGAAGTAATGAGGAATTTAATTAACTCATTAACATCAACAGTTTAAATGAGTAGAATTAACTTACAGTATATTTTGGTTACACTACACTTATTAATAAAGTGATTGAATAATAAAATGATAAAGTTGACTGTTGGGTTTTACAGTGTATGAGTACATATATTGGTGACCAATTAGTCACAAAGTCTGTGGAAAGGCACATAAAACAAAATACATATTTTCCACATCACAGCACAATCCTATAATATAGACATGTGATTTGAAAAAAAAAAAAAACAGCATTAGAATAAAACAAAACACTAACAACAAAAATAACAAACAAACCATTCCCTGTAAGCCTCCGACAACCCTTCTCCTAAAAAAAAAAAATCTAATTGACATACAAAACTATTTCTCTCACGCATCAGGGGGTTTGATTTATTTTTTTTTAAAGCACATACAATTACTAAAAAACTTTGCTACATGAAAAGATTAATAAGTAATATGATCAACTTATTTATTATATTACATATTTTTTATATTCGTATATATTACGACTTTTTAACACAAATCTTGTGCTAACCGTTATCAAGGTACACCACAGTTTGGAAAAGTTGAGGTTTTTAAACTGCCAAAATTTTCTGCTACACCGTTACTATGGTACATGTAGGTTTTTTTTTTAAGTTTTGTTTTAGGTTTTTTTAAAAAGCAGTATCTCCAGCAGAGAAGACATTCGAAGATGCTGTTTTAAATTGTCATGAAATCTGTGTTTTTTCGAAACTAATGAAGACAGCAGAAGTCAATGATTCATTTGAAATTTTTAGCCTGACATGGTTACTGTCCCAAAATATTGTAAATGTTTCTTCAAATAAAATACATTGTGTTCAAAGGTGGAAAGTGTTTTAGTTTTTTACCACAATACCATGAAACAGTGAATCTGTGATATTTTTATCCAAGTTAATCATACCATTAGTATCTTATACCAGCCCATGCCACATATTGATCATGTTGTGATAGCTGTTTTAACATTAAGATAAGATTGAATTGCCCCTTGTTACAGTTCTGAAATAGTTTGATAACAAGCAGAAAATGTTCAGGGGCCAATGTCATGACCACATTGAAATGGTCTATAAGCGTACAGAAAAGATACTTTCATAACATCAATATGTGTGACAAATTTACATTCAAAATGTTTATTATTACCTTAGAACTCAATAGAGATTTCTTTACTTGGATTTTCAAAATTTTCACAAACATATTTGTACTCACCTCTAGCACAGTCTGTGATGAAAATAATGTCAAAAATGAAGAAAACTATCCAAAGAAGTTCCATGATGTCCCTATTAAAGCTCTCTGGTTCTTCAATCTATGAAAAATAGGACGAAATCTGTTGGTGGCTGAATTACTAAGGCGGTGACACCTTTTTAAGCATGCATAATACTGAATCACAAACAATTGAGGTAAAGTTGGTCTTCTATTCTCACATTCAGACATTCTCCTTAATAATATTATTTCAAAAAAGTATTCTTTGTGCATTCTCAATAGTGAAATCATATTAGCAGCCAATGACTATCCAAGTACAACCTTGTTCACAATTAAATCGTGCTAAGGTTGGTTTGAAGTAGTACTTGCATGCTAATTCAGACCGAAAATTCAAAGTTAACAATATAGGGACTGTTAAATGAACGAATGTCTGAATATAAAACTAACTTTACCTTAGTAACAAAACTTGGGTTGTTTAATAAAGCATTGTCTCTATTAAATCAAACAGCACAACTAGAACCTGGAAATTATTCCAAATAATTAAATAAATAAAAAAGCAGTTGCAAGTAGGTAAAAGTTACATTTCACGTAAAAAATCATTCAAAGCCAAACATCTAAGACTTACCAACAATTGAAAGTATGATCAGAAATCTGTTCCTCGCAGCTAGTAGGTAAAATATCATGCTTAAGGTTACATCCTCTTAAAACACTCCAGACATTTCATGTAGACTGGAGGCTACATCAGAAATCCACATGCTCGCAACCCTGGATCCAGCTCTTTCAATCTGTTTAATTATCACGCGCGACTGTATTCCTGGACGCTCTGACGTCATGTATTTTCGCGCGACACTTTTTAATACACGCGCTGATTGCCGTAAACTTCTGTAGATGACAGACAGCCGCCGCGCGCGCCCTGTTGCGCACGCACTTCAATTCAAGGCGAATTTATGTCCATGTATTCTTCAGGTAGCAAATAACACGCATGGTGAAATTGCGAACAGCACCTAAATATGTATCAAACGGTGTTTGAAATACCGTTAACCAAATGTTTCGCCGTCCAGACACACACATACACACGCGCACACACATACACACCGAGTGGAGTGTGAGACGGTCCAGCCCTACGGCCAACTTTTGACCAATCACAGCGAGCCTCTTCACTCTCAGTTTAACTCTTTCACAATGAATAAATAATAATAAATCGTAGACAAATAAAAAATGCCTTCAAAATGCCAATTTTCATCATTAAATATATTTCATAAAATATTTTAATATAAATAAACCCTGTAAACTGTCTGATTACCATGACAAACAACAACCAAAACGAGTAGAATAATGCACAATTGGCTTTTTTTCGGCACAGCGGCCAACATCCGCAAACAATAACAAACAATAACACGTGGAAACTTGAGTAAAATGCAAGAGACAGCTGGAATAACATCACGTATATGAAAATGCTGGCTTTATCAAGAGATCAAACTTGCAAGTGTTATTCTTATGTGACTTTTTAAATAATAAAATTTCGTTGTATTAATGCAAATGCATAAGTCCAGACAGTATTAACGTTTATATTTAAATGTTGTACAGAATTGTACATTACATTCACACAAATATAAACATGTATGGCATCATAAGACAAAATTATCTGCCCCCAAAAAGCTACATAGCCATTACAAACCACACAGCTCCTTAGAGTTCATTGCTGCCCTCCACTGGCGGAGAATCAACGCTGAAAACCAGATGGTAATCATCATATATTAGTAATAACTAACATGTGACCACCTGCTGCCATCTTGTGTCGGACAGCAACATTGACAAAAATGAGGGTTTCAAGAATAGTGGTAGTCAGGGCTGGGCAAAAACACATTGAAATGTATTTTAAAATAAAATACCAATAAGTTTGAGTGTATCAAAATAAACTACAAAATACAGCAGTAACAAAATGTATCAAAATAAAATACAGTATTTTTGTATTTTAAAAATACTACAAAATACTTTTAAAAAGTAGCATGACATCAGTACCTTTACATTAAACTGACTCTTTAATTCTCAATGAAAAACATTATTTCTGAAAACTTCAAGAAGTTATCTATTTTTGCGAAAAAACTCTTCATATATACTAATATATAAATAACCTAATATATATATATATATATATATATATATATATATATATATATATATATATATATATATATATATATATATATATATATATAATGTAATAATTTTGACCTTAAAATGTTTTTTTTTATTTTAATTAAAAAAATGCTTTTATTCTAGCCGAAATAAAACTAAAAGGACTTTCTATTATAAATGTTATATTACCTAAATATTATCAGACATATAATCAAAACTTCCTTGCTCTGTTAAACATCATATACGCACACACACACGTTTGTTTTTGTGAAAAGTGGGGACATTACATAGGTTTCCGTTCATTTTGTACTGTCCAAACCGTATATTGTATTGCCCTCACCCCACCCCTAAACCCAACCATCACAGGAGACTGTGTGCAGCTTTACTCTGATTAAACTCATTCTGTAGGATTTATAAGCATTTTGAGAAATGAGGACGTCACCAATGTCCTCTTATTTCGCCTCCTTTTTGTAATACCTGTGTCATACCCATGTCATTATACAGATTTGTGTCCTGATACGTCACAAAAACACGTACACACACACACACACACACACACTGTATATATCCTGTTCCTGCGTTATAACCTGTCAGTTTTTATGGTTCGAACCAGCAACTTTCTTGCTGTGAGGCGACAGCACTACCTACTGCGCCACTGCCTCGCCCTTGTATCAAAATTACATAGGCCTACTTAAAAAAAGCCAAAGACAACAAAAAGTTTTACTATTTTATTATTTATTTAAGTAATTTCTTTTGTCTTTGCCATGTTGACTGGATGTTTTTATGTAGTAGTATTCAACTTAGTGAAATTTCAGCAGGGTTTCTGCAGGTTTCATCAAGTTAAATTTAAGACTTTTATTATGAATGAAATTGTAGACTCATACAGGGCTAAACGCTTTTAGCTTTTTCAAATGGCACAGATGGAAAAGATTTTTATTTGCTCTATCAGAAAAATTATTACAATTTCCTATTCAGGATCAATCATGCACGTCTTTTGGGAATGCAAAAAGCTAATTTTTCTTCTGGAGAGCAGTACAGGACTTTACAGCCAAAGCTTTGCAAGTTCCATTGGACAACACACCAACACTATACCTCTGTGGTACAGAACTGAACAAGACACTTGATCCTGCTTCTATAAAGAGACTCGGCATCAACTATCTAGCAAAAAATTGCATTTTGCTCAACTGGAACCAACAAAGACCTCCAACATTTGAACTGTTCACGCAACTCTTGAATGAAACAATGCTCTTGGAACAATATACATACTACTTATAAAACAAAGGGGATGCCTTTCAAAAAAATATGGATCATGACTCTAATGATCCCCTGACTCTATGAACACATCTGATGTATTTTCAGAATAAGTGTGACCTTAATCACAGCATAACTTTGTGTATTATGATTTTTGTATTTTGTTTGTATGTTTATTTATTTATTTATTATTTTTTAATTTATTTATTGTTTTTTTCTCTTTGCCTTTTGCTGCTATACTTGTCTACAGATACATTTGTCTTTGCCCATTTTTGTTTGTTTATGTTCATTAAAACCAATAAACAAAAAATAAATAAATAAATGTAATACATTTAATGATACAATAATAAATAAATAAAAAATAATAAATTTTAGATATTTCTTAGCAAAATATTTTAAATATTGTGTTAAAAACAAGCCAGCTCTAGTCATAAACATACACTTTTTTCAACTTTAGCCTTGCTTTAAAAATAAATAGTGACAACTGTTGTAAAATATTTGAAATCTATAATAAACAAACAAAAAAAAGTATAAAAAACAAAATAAATGTAAGTTTTAATGAGATTAATTGTTGGTAATTATATGCATGTTGGCCAGATTGGAAAGCTAAACTTGAACAAAGGAAAATTAAGACCTACAACACAAAGTTTAAGTAAATGTAAGACTTGTTAAGGCCTAAAATTCACTATATTTCAGTTGAGATTTAAGACATTTTAAAACCCTGCGGACACCCTAATTATTATTATTACTATTAAAATACTTAACTAGATTATTTACTACGTTAGCATAATCAGGCAAGTTACTAGATAACTGTGATTTGTTTTGTAGACAGAAAAAAAAATAGTATTTCTAAAGGGGGTTAATAATATTGACCCAAAAACTGTATATATAGAATAAAAACCTTATATGAAATGTTCCTTGAGAAATATTTGAAAAAAAAAAAATCTAAAAAAGTTTAATTGGAGGGCTAACTATTTTGACGGACACACACACATTTTCTGTATTAATAAACACTGACACAACACTTGTTTTTGGTTCAATAAAATTGAGAAAAACTATTTTCAGTTTTATTTCACAATTTTCCATCTTTCAGACCGAGGTCCTGACTTTCTGTGGTCATTAAATATTCCATGGCACTTCCCTTGCAGGGTAGCGGTGTAACCCCGGTGTCCTGCCCAAATTCTCTCCATCGGTCCTCATCTATCCTGACCTCCCAATCATCCCCATCCACCGAATTGGCTCTATAACCGTCTCTCCACTCTACCTAGAACTTAACTGGTGTGTGGTGAACCCACTGGCACCATTATCCTGTGGCTGCCATCGCATCATCCAAGTGGATGCTGCACACTGGTGGTGGTGTGGAGAGACCCCCCCTTAATGATTGTGAAGCGCTTTGGGTGTACGGCCATTTCATTAAAACCTGCTCAAATTAAGAAGCTTTTAAAAGTCTCATAGAACAAAGCAAGCTATTGATGATCAAAATGTTTATTGAAATAAACAGTATGTTCTTTGAATTACTAACACCTCTTAACTTACAGGTCATTTATACAACAAAGTATATACAAATATTAACATGTACAGTTGACAAACAAACCTTTTTTGCTTCGTCACCATTACCAAAGAGTGAAGAATCGGTTACCTTCAGATCGATTGATCAGGTTTAAGCGAAGCTCCACAATCTATCACTAAAAAGCTAGCTATTTCACTAGACAAGAATACAGACCTTCACAGCAGTATGCTATTTTGCTCTCATATTTTTATAGATGTATTATGATGGTTGTCACTCATTTTTCAATCCAACTGGAACCTAACCTAAACCATTTCAATCGAAACTGCAAACTGGGCAATTGAGAAAAAAAAAAATAAAAACACAGCAGCCAAAACTTCAAACCCAGACTACTCCACGTCAATATATATTGCCAATAATTCATTACAGTGTTTTCACAATTTGAGAGTAGTTCATTCTGTATCAAGTGCCTTTTTATTTCTAACAAATCATTTTGTATGTGCGTTTGTGTGTAAACATGAAACAGCCAGCGAGAACATGAAGTTGTTTCATACCGCAGAACTTTCGAGAAGCATTCAGCTGAAGTGAGCTGCTGGTCTTGTCGTTAGATATATATAGGGTGATACTGTTTATGTGTGAGTTTCTTTCTACATGTAGGGCAGCTGTGAGCTCTGCTGAGAGAGTCGCGGATGCACTGACTGCAGAACAGGTGACCGCATTTCGTGGAGACCATGAGCCTACCACTGTCCATGATCTGAAAATACAGATGAGAGAAGGTTAGAGAGGCAT